GGCGTTCGTGTTGCTCACCTCTGCGCTGTCTGGAATGGTTTGTGCATGAAGTAGCCCGATCTGCTGGTGATGGTTGCGGACAGAGGGGTCCTGTTTGGAGTCTGTTGCTAGGATCTCAAACCGGTTTTCAAGGATCGGGGTTCCAAACTTCGACTGCCGAGGTGATGTAGACCTGGCGAGCTGGGGTCCTCCCGCCTGTCCGCCCGCGACGAGATCGGGGTAGCCGGTCTCTCCCGTCTGGCGGCGAGACAGCTTGTTGCGAGGTTGGGTGCTGAAGCTGAGGTTGAGGCAGCTGGGGGAACTGCTGCTGATACTGATACTGGGAGACCTGGTGTAGTACGTGTTGTTGATAGAGCTGAAGTTGTTGGAACTGTTGCATTTGAGCCTGCATGGCTCGCATGCACTGCATCAAGTCCTCCAGTTGGTTCGAGCTGGCCGCTGGGGGCACGACCGAAGGTTCGATTAACGTCATTCCGAGTGTAGTAGGGAGTGAGGTGATGACATGTGCCACTATGAGAGGCACATTCAAGCTGGGGATTCCGTCCGCCGAGAGGGGGACGGTGAACTGTCCGATACAGACAGTAGGAAGCTGGGGTTGTTCCCTGGAGTTATCCATTTTCGTGCTTCGTTCGATGTTGTTAGAGGAAGCCATGAGCGTTGGATTGTTTCAAGAAGGAAAAAGAACTGAAAGAGTTTAGGGAGAAAGGCCTTTTGAAGCGTTTCCCACAGACGGCGCAAATGATGTAGCACAATCCGGTCACTCCTATCTAGCGCTCGTGTGGCTCTTGAGAGGTACCTGAGACAAGAGGAAAGAGGAAGAACTCCTGGGGGGTTTCCCAGCGGGAACGCTCCGATGCTTAAGTTAGTATTGTGTGCGAGAAGCAAAAGGAAAATGAAGGCTAAGAGTGTCGGTCACCCAGATGATTCCCAGATACCTTGTTCCTTGAGAATAAGCTCCTTATAACTGAATTCTGTTGCTTCAGGCCCTCTGACTTCTGACAAGGCAGGTATAACCGCTACTGTCAGTCTGCCACAGCCGTTACAGGCAGGACTGATGTGGCACGCGCGGGGTCGTTGTTGCTGGGTACGTGTCCGTCAGGTGCGAGACACCTTTCTAAAGGTGGCAGGCGCGGCGAGGGGGACATGCTTGCTGTCCACAGATTTGCCGGGTACAGTGGTTGAGCAGGAAGCCCTCCTGTGGTATACCGAACTGCTCTCCCGCGAATTACCCTGAGCCAGGCTGTCCTTTGAGTGACGAGTTGCCTGTAGCCCGTTATGCCGAGCTAGCTGACCCAAGATGTCTGAGCCTCGGGGTTTCTGGAGAAGGATCGGTGCGTTCTTGCCTGGGAGTGGCCCGAGGTCCATTGGGAGGAGCTCGGGTCTTAAAAGGGGTCAGGGCATCCCGAACTCAGGACCCCCCGAAGTGCGTTATCCCAGGGGAGGAGGTGCGGGTAAGGCAGCTTTCGGCGAGTAGTTTACCTACTGAGTTGCCGTGCTGAACTCGGTGAGACTTTCCCTCCGAGTTGTGCTCATGCTCGTTGCGCTGTTATGCTGAGTCACTGTTTGAACAAGGTCACACCCACGTGTACCTGTGCTACGAGGTCGGGCCAAATCACCCTCCATCACTTCCTAATTTTATCTATGTAATGACCTAAACACCAAAATATCAATGACTTGTTGCCATTTAATGCCTTCACCATCAATTTTTCATTAGAAATAAAGTTTCAAAAGTTGTTATAAGCTCTGCCTCTATTCGTTCTTTAACCAAACCCACTTTACCACCTCTAACAACAACAAAATTAAACAAGCTATTATATACAAACAAAAGTTCCTCTATTGTCATTCATAATATCCCCATCACATAAAATACAAAAACACTATGATGTGGCAACAATAAAAGGTTTACCTATTATACACAACTATGTTAACATTGAATTAATATTAGGATTCCATATATTTGTTGTTCCATTAATTTTTTGTAGAACCCAATGATGTTTGTTTCAATATTTTTAAAATCAATGTCATTCCTAGATTGCCATATATTAAATCTTGTTCTTTCTATGTAAAGTAGTTTTATCATAAATAAATTCTATTAATTAGATCTATATAGAATACTTTTAATAATATAAAACCCATTTAAAAAAAAAGACTCAAAAACAAAACCTTCTTTCATCCATGTAGCAAGTAAACAATTCAACCACCCTGGTCAAATTGGACAACCCATGATGTTGTAATTAAGTAATAGAAAACAAAAAAAACATAAATTTTATAAAAATTGTGAATACATTATTACTATCATTATCATCATCTAAAATTACACACTTATTAGTAAATCACTAAAAATCTGGTTATATAATGGGATATTACATAGAGGTACTTTCAAAAAAATAGATAATGCATTCTATACAAGAACGTCAAAAACTAACTCGGGTATTGCATATTATTCATAATATTATACAAATAAATCACTAAAAAATCTGGTTATATAATGGGATATTACATAGAGGTACTTTCAAAAAAATAGATAATGCATTCTATTCATTGTATTATACAAGAACATCAAAAAATAACTCGGGTATTGCATATTATTCATAATATTATACAAATAAATCACTAAAAAAGCTGGTTAATGGTATATTATTTAGATACATATGCAAAAAAATAAAAAAACTAAACGATCAATCACTAGCGATTTGCTGTGGTTTTCGCTTTAAAAACTAGATTTGCACAAAAATGCTGTAGATCTAATTTTAGACATCAAAAACTTCAAAAAAAGTCTAAATCAAACTGTGAATGAGTGGGGAAGAAAAGAAATTGCAAGAAACACCGCATACCTAAGAGCCTAGTTAGAAACCAATCCTTGGTTCTATTGGACACCACTTGTTATTGCCTCTAGGTACCTACGCGAATGAAGAAGATGATACACTTATCTCCATTTGCAGAGTTATTATCAACATATTGAAAATTTTAGGGACAATTTTGTCCCACGAAAATGAAATAAGCACTTAAATTTTAAGTACCTAAAATTGATCAACCCATTAAGCACTTATTTTTGAAACAAACACTTATTCTTGGCTTTTTTGCCAGGCAAGAATAAGTGCTTATTTGCCACTTATTGTGTGGTCCCACAACATATTTTAAGTACTTATTTGAATAAGTGCTTAAAATAAATGATACCAAATAGCGGTTAAATCTATTTATGGTATTTTTAATATATAATATAAAACCTTTTTTCAAATCAACATGAAAAATAAACCATTATTTTGTCTAAGTGGCATGTAAGTAGTTCAACCATTCACGTCAAATGGTCTCACAGTTAGATCAGGAAAATTTAAAAATAAATAAAAAACATAAACATTATAAATTACACTTTTTTCTAAAATATTTGGAACACCTCTAATATTATATATTTACCATATTAAACACAAATAAACACTATTTTCAGAACTGGACCAAACTGGATGGTCGAACCAAAAAAATTAGGAATCGTGATGGTCATACTGGTTCCGTTTTCCTCCAAAATCGTTGATTTTGGTCAGCAAACCGCTTAACCGACCGGTTAACCGTTCGAACGTTTGAATCGTTTTGACCGTTTTCCAATTTTTATTTATTATTTATTTTTTTGTCAGAATGGGTTGGCCATTCGGGTCGAACGGTCAGACCGTTTGAATAGGTAAGTGGACCCCTGACCGGCTCGTTTTTAAAAACCATGCAAATAAGTATTTTGAATAAGAAGTATTTGTATTCATGATGCAAATGAAATGAAACCATTTTCCTATTCAAGTGGTGGTTTAATGGTTGAACCTTTTAGGTCAAATGTCAACCCATGATGTTAATAATCAAATAATACAAAATTTAAAAAAGATAGAGACAAATTTGCATACAATATTTAAAAAAGCCCTTTGGTAACCCAAGTCAAGTGCATTTTACATGCATACATACATAAATACATGCATACATACATATATAGACACATTTACATACATGCATGCATATACAATTTTACACATATACATTTATATCAAATTTTGTTGTGGAGCTGATTGACAAGCCAAACTCTGAGCCCAATCCAAGTGCATCAAATTTCAGTTAAGATTGGGCCCAGGTTGGACAAATTTGACTTTGGTCTTGAGCCTTATGCCCAATGCATAGGGTTGGGCCTAGGTCTAACTTAAATTTAACCCAACATACTTGATTTGCACCATAATGGTCTAATCATTTGGATAAATGGGTCAATCAATGATGTCATAAATAAATAATAAAAAATTCAAAATAGATAAAAATTACAAAATACATAAAATTTATAAAAAAATTTGACATATGTAAGATATTACAAATTTATCATATCAAACAAAGATAAGTGTGACAAACAACAATTATTTTTAGAATTAATAATGGAAATAGAATAAAAAATTTAAATTTGTCCAAAAATGAGATCAGTTTTTCTTTTAAGTCAAATTACCAACACATGATGTCATAATTATATAATAAAAATTATAAAAAACACAAAACTTAGTCTATTAAATATATGCACATCTCTAATATTATATTAAATAAAAGTAAAAATGATAAATAAGAAACACTTTTATTAAAATTTAAATCCATCAATACACAAGGTTTAATTACTTATCTTTTTAATGGAAGCGGATCAATTGCTGCAGTTTGCCAAAAAAAAAAAAAGAAAAAACTTCCAGATTAGCTTACCGAAAGCCTCTGGATGGCTGTTGGGTGCTTGTAGAGGCCCACTGGACTTTTATATAAGAAGGAAATGCCCATTGGACTTTGTGGTTTCCACATTGACTCCCAGTTGGCCCACGATTTTTGGATTCACGGAGTATAATATTTTCTGAAATCTTTCAGCGATCGAACTCGTTCATAACGTACATTCTTTTTGGCGTTATTCCGATCTGTTGTGGAAAACGCGACACGTGTTGAAAAACCTGCGATCCATCGTCTTCTCTTTTTGTTTTTGGTGTTAGAATCCATCGTCTTCTTGATTTCTTCTCTTGTCATCGTCTGAGTCAACCAGATTCATTACTTAGCTTAGTATTGCTCGCTCAGGTCATCAACAGCAAAGCTATACGTAGAACAAATCGTATCATACTCGTATAGGTTTCCTATCCGTATGGGTGTCGTCCCCTCTTGACTCTCTGAGATTCTTCTATCTATTTTTATATTGGAGTCTCCTAGGGTAGATCCTTCTCTCTCTTCCTCCCACAGGTTCAAACGGTTACTGAGCAGTGAGGTTAGTTTTCAGATCCTCGTCTCCTCTGTCTCTGTTTCCGTCTCTCGAGATTGATTGATTCAATATATTATTTAATGTTGCTTAATTTTTGTACGAGTGCACATAATTCATTGATCGTTAGTGCAATTTTTTGGTTACTGGTATTGAATTTGATTGTGGGTTATCTGGCTCTACTGAGATCTGTTGTACCCACAACGTTTTTGTTATGAATTGGTAGAAGTTTGTTTAAATTTTGATTGCTTCTTGATTTTTTCATTGTTTTTGTTTGGTGATGAATAGATTCTATTATGAAGTGGGTGTCCTCTAATTTTCCGGAGGAGAATAGGAAGATATTATTTTGAATAGTTTAAGGCTTCTCTAGGGTTTTTGATGATGGGAGTTCACATTCTAAGATTTAGATGATAAATATATCATAAGTAACGGTTGTATTTTCTTAAATTGTAATGTAATGTAATTTCCAAGGAGATTTCCTCTGACAACTTCGTATTTTATATCAGTATGACTATAATTTATTGATTTTAGTTTTTTTTCATGTCAAGCAAATAAAATCGGGCTGTGGTAGATCTGCAATGGAGACTGATTACAGGGAAGATTTCAATGAATTGGCAATGTCGGAAGCATTACATCTATTATGACATTAAGATGTGGCTGTTTCTTGCTTAGATTATAGTGCATGATAAAACCCTTTGAGCAAAGATTAGATTAGAGAACTGGTTCATGTCAGTGCAGGAGGGTCATAGGTGGATGAATCCAGTTTGCTAGATATTGGACTATAACAAATATTCCTGATACCCTCTTATTGAATAGAATTTAAGGATATGTATTTTTTTTTCTGATAGAGATTGTGAGACATATTTGGTGCATTTTTCTTCATAATACATTAGTTCCTTCCACTAACTTGCATTGAAGTATTTGACAGCTTTAACATTCTTTTCATTCCTTTTCTTTTCCGTTATGTTCAAGAAAAGGCTTAATAATGGAATAGAAGTGTTGATGCACATGACTGGTGTAAATATGAATGGAATTTAAGGAACACGGAGTTGATAAATTTGTGAAGAAGGTTAGGCAGCTATACAAAATGTTGGCTTTTATTCAGATGTTCAATCTGGAAGTCTTCTTAAACTATCCTGAATGGTGTTTTTTGGTGCCTACTGCCTACTACTCAAGAATTGGTTTGTTTAATTTTCTTAGAAGCAAGAATGTGATTGCAGCTGAGTAAATGGCCCCAAGTTTGAATTTATGCAGCAGAGGCATATTTATCTTTGGAATACCAAACTTATTGGCTAAAGTGCCTCAAACTTGTATTGAAATGCAAGAAAAAGCTTGAGCAAGTTAAGTGGCATGGTGATTTTTTTTTTGCAGTTTGAGAATGTCTAGCAACGAGTCTTGGTAGCTTTTACTCCTTTCTGATATACCTTTCACTCTTCATTTATAGAGGTAATAGGGTGGTAACTGTTCCATTTCAGGCACAAAACATTTAATTCATTTATTGCTTTTTTATTAGTATATACTATAGCTGTTTTTGTATGATATTTTATGAAACTGGAAATAACTGAAAAGAACACTCCCCCTCCTCTTTCCCTCACCCCCAAATGAAATGATGCTTTATTTCTGAACTGTCAGAGAAGATAATTGAAGCAGCTTCAGCCTAATGTCCTTACCTTATCAATTTAGAAATGCAGGTTGAAGTTGACAACAAGCAGTTATAGGGGTTAGGTTGGTCTCATATTACCCAGTCTTAATTTATAAGAAATGGATGGAAATCAAATCAGGAGCTTATTTTAAGAGGGACACTTAGATTAGATTCTGCTATTTATTTATTTTATTTGCGAATTACTTTGGAATATCTTTGCTGTTTACTTTTTTGTTTCAGTGGAAGAACTATAACAGCAGTTTCTATGGCTATATTTACCAAGGCCTCCTTAGAAATGGAGCATTTAAGCTAACAAAATAGGATAAAAATGATACCAAAGCCTTTCTTTCCCCTATTTCTGTACTCCTTCACTTTCCTACTATTCACTTCCACCAAGATCATGCTTGTTATTGGTGTTTTCTTATCCCTCATTTTGAATTGTTGATGATTTTACCACCCTGCCTCTCTTCTCTCACAGACATTTCTTTCTTTTCCTATTCTTTTCTAAATATTTATCATTTTATTTCCTTTGCTGAGCTTTTGTACTGTGCAATTCTGAAACAAATTTATAAGCCACACCACTAAGAAAATAAATCTCAGTTCTAGAAGCAATGTAACTAATAACAGCATTAGTTCTTACCTGACCAATCTTGGAGGATTCATCATCAAATTTATATGAAGCTTTTCTTTTTTCTTTTGGAAGAAAAGATAAATTTATATGAAGCTGTTGCCTTTTTGACATGGGACATTGTTTGGTGTAATGGTAAAATCTTGGGCTGACAAGTTGAGAATGTAGGTCTATGCTGGAGAGCAGTGACTTTGTGCAAGTAAAATCCAAAAGTTGGGTCCATATCCAATCTACCCTTTGAAAACCCCAGATAGACGGGACAAGTATTGGGTAATAGCTCTTTTTGTTGCCTCCCTGGCTCAGAAACACATGTTACTACGTTAGGAGCCTGGAAAATTCATTGAGATGCCCTTGAGAAAGCTAAGGAATTGGGCCTGAAAAGGCTAATTATTGAAGGTGATACCAAAACAGTTGTGGACTGGTTATGGAAAGGGGAAGGAGTCTCTTGGCACCTAAGGAGATTCAAAAGGCTATCCAGGGATATGCTGATTCAAATTAATTGGGTTTGAAGACCGGCCAACAGTTTGACTAAACAAGGGGTACAAAGACAGTCTATGTTTTGGGCCTATTTGTAATATTTGGGGGTTTGGACTTCTGGCGTCCTTTTTGTATTCTTCACAACTTCTGGTTGTTCTGCTTTATTTAATTTTAATGAAATCGATTTTCTGAGTTATTGATAAAAAAAAAGAATTCATTGAGATGTCTTGGATTGAGATTGATTTTGATTCAGAACTAAATCCACTGGAATTTCCATTTTTTTTTCTTCTTAGCACCAATCTAGTTCTTTTAAAACATAAAATATTATTAATTTCAGAAGGGAGAAACAAGAAATGTGACTTTAAAAAGTGAAATTTACTTACCATAAGGTTCACCATGATCTTTAAGGCCAAACTACTTTGAGATTCAGTTACACTAGCATGGACCAAAAGGGGTTGCTGGGTAAAGAAACTATTATCTATACCAGTAGAGGTAAATTAGATATTTCCAGTTGTTTGTAGTAAGCTGTTCTGGTAATTATGTGCTCCTTACAAGTTTGAGGATGGAATTCTCATCTTTTCTAGGTAGAAGCCAAAATCTTCCTGTTCTTTTTGGCTTTTATTAATAGGCTTTAACTTTATACTTTTGCATTCCTTTGGCTTTTACACGTCATTATGCTGGATTTTCTGCACTATAGCTTTCCTTTTTGCATTGCAATTTCAGTTGCATTGCGGCAAATGTATGGGAGTGCAAATTCTGAGTTATTTTAGTTTCAGATTTTGTCTTATTTTGTTTGTTTGCATTGCATGTGGAGTAACATAAAACCTTAAAGAAAACTTGAACAAAAATTTGCATTCTTCTCATTTGCAGTCTCATGAATTTGTACTAGTGCAAATAAAATTGCACTGCAGAGAAATGGAGTATCATTCTTTGACATTTTTTTTTGATCAGTAAACATGTATTTTATTTAAAGTTAAGATTGAAACAATTTGTATAACTTGGTGGTGGGAATGTTATTCCCAGTTTAGCATACTTTTCTGTCCCAAATTACAATGCAGCCCAAAATAATTGCTGCCTCAGTGCCCCTTGTTTGGCAAGAGAACCATTCTTTAACAAAATATTCACATGCAAACAACCCCTATCTGTAGTATAACTTGGTTAAACAACATTTGTAACCTAATTTAGGTCTATGATTCTCAACTTTTCTGACTTTCTCCTGTACAACCACCCTAGAATTTGACAGTGGACTTGATTTTCCATGTCTGTTTGGACTTTTTAAATGCATATTATTTTAAATATTTGTACTGAATATTAATACGATAGTTTGTGCACCTTGTATTTTTCAATATTTTGTTTTCTTTTTCAATGTTCATTTCATTTCCAAACCAATCAATTTTGATGTTGTATTGGCTAGTTTCTGATACACCTGTGAGTGTTACCATGTCTCCATTAAACCATGTCAAATTCCAATTTAATCCTCTTTTAGATCTTTTATCAGATTATTAGAAAGCTCAGTTTAGATTTGTAAATCCTATGATTTGGAGAAAAATAGGCAGAAGATCCTTTTTCTTGAATGAGCTTGATGTGCTGTGCTATCATTTGCAGTTAATGAAGGTGCACTTTTTAGAATTTTATGTGAGTTCATTAAAATACCAATTCAATGTCCTCAGGATTTATAGAAATGAAAGAAGGTGATCTTTTTATTGTCCTCTTGGATGATTTATAATCCCGTATTCTCATGTTGTCTTTCAATTCATTCTACTTAAAGTTGGAAATTGAAAGACCTACAAAATAATTTATACATTCTCTTAGATAAAACATACCTTTCTGTGAAAGAGGCATTATTAATTTATTTTTGATAGTCAACAGAAATGAGTTTTATTCATTATAAGGAAAAGAGAAAGGATCACACTATCACATTACAGACAGTGTGGGCAATACAAGACAGCTTTCAGCTGACATACAAGTATATAATTTAATTGGACTGTAATTTAGATCATTCCCTGCCCTGGTAAGCCCCATTCAAGTTCTTGCCTCGATATTCCTACTTTTTTTCTAAGGAGTCAGTCAACCCATTTTCACTCCTACTCATCCACATGAATGAACAATCTGTATGTATTTGGTTTTTCTTACTAAGAATTGGAACATTCATGTAGGTTCTTCTGTTGTTAGCCATGAAATGAACACCTGAAAGAGGTATTATTTTAGTGCCAATAAATTACTTCTGTTAATTAATAAACTCTCTTTGTCAAACTTCTTTCA